TTAGCAAATGTTTTGCTACTTTTAGCCAGCATTATGTTATTTTAGCTTATCTTTTCTTACCTTTAGCAAATGTTTTGCCACTTTTAGCCAGCATTATGCTATTTTAGCTTATTTTTTCTTACCTTTAGCAAATGTTTTGCCACTTTTAGCTAGCATTTTGCTACTTTTATATAACTTTTTTCTTCTTTTAAACAGCATCATGCTGCTCTGAGTGGCAAAAAGCTAAGAATTAAAAATTTTCTTTCAGCCAGGTCTGTGCCAATTCTGCTAGCCTTTTGCTTCTCTTAGCATTATGATTCATTCAGCTTTCAGCTAGTGCTTTGCTTCTTTTGGCTTTAACAAATCTGTTTAAGCTTCTTCAAAGTTCATCAAACTCCTTCAGCGCTCAACATTCACACAAATTCTTCTTTAACATTTCTGAAAAGTAGCCTCTAACCACTCCACCGCTAAAAGAATTGGTCTTCGGCCACTTTTTCTTCGTCTGTTGTTGCGCAGACCCACGGTGGATCTGATCGGAGCCATGGAGACGCAGAGCGAGCCGTCGGAGCTGGAGCTGGACGACGTGGTCATCACCAACCCTCACATCGAGGCCATCCTGGAGAACGAGGACTGGATAGAGGACGCTTCGTACGTCCAACTCCTAAATCTGATGGTTTCTGCCGTTTTCTTGTCAATTTTAACTTTGCTTTCATCTTCAACAGTGGCTTGGTGTCTCACTGCATCTCGATCCTAAAGGTAACTATTTAGCTTGTGGGGAAACGTGTATTTTATCAATCACTGCAGGGCTGTAATGAGGAACAAACAGTTTAGAAATGACACGGCCATTTCACTTACAGATTTGCCACACTTTGACTGAAAAGCTGGTAGCCATGACAATGGGCTCGGAGGCAAAGGTCAAGGCACCGGCCAGCTTGAGTGACATCATCACGGTGGCCAAGCGCATCAGCCCAAGGTAAGAACTTCTTCACAACTCCTCAGTTTCACCATCGCAGCTCGAACAGACCGATCGACATCCTGTCTTTCTCACAGGGTGGACGACGTGGTCAGGTCCATGTACCCCCCTCTGGATCCAATCCTCCTGGACGCCAGGTAATCACATCTGAAGCGCTTGAGCGCCGTTAATTGGTGTCTGGAGACGAATGGTCACATGACCCTGTTCATCTAAAGTTCTGCGTTTGTTGGTGCCAGAACAGAAACGCTCAAATCCCAACAAATAAACGGGCGCTTATTGGATTTAAAATCCCATTTGGTCTTCTAGAACTTCAGTTCAACCTTTAAAATATTGTGCTTTGATCAAACGAAACGATTATTTTCAGTTTGCTTGTTTTTTACTCCTCAGAGCTACGGCTCTACTCCTCTCAGTCAGCCACCTGGTGCTGGTCACCCGCAACGCCTGCCACATGTCGGGCAGCATGGACTGGATCGACCAGTCGCTCCACGCCGCCGAGGATCACATGGTGGTTTTACGCGAGGCAGCGATGGCTTCAGAACCGGAACGAAACCTTCTCGGATTCGATGCGCAAAGAGAGCAGTCCATCTAAACCACTGGAACCACCGCGGCAGCACAAATAAAAAAAAAATCAATCTGTTCTCGGCAGATTACGTTGAAAAGACATGAAATCCAGAATAATTACTACTGTCCTTCCTTTATACCTGTGCAGCATTACAGAAAACACCTGAAGTGCCTTCATCCAGCGGTGGGCCTTAAATCCAGACTCAGCCCTGCAGAGTCACATGAAGCCTTAATCTGCTAATCCACAGGAGAATAACGTCCATTAGCCAGAGGAGCTGAAGGGGCTCGACACCGCAGACCTTTGTCACGACAGGCTTGACTTGTTCAGGACACGAGGGTCACCGTGACATCTGGTCTGGACGTAACGAAGGATTAAAAACCATCCCTCAGAAACTCTGGTGCTGGTAGAAACCAGTTCTTTCAGCCGTTTTAGCCTCAAAGTATTTTATAAAACGTCAGTTTTTATTTCACGTTTATTATTTTGTGTGAATTTAATTTTTTTTTGCTATGCTAATCTGCTTAAATTTATCACTTGTACTACGTAGTGTCAATTAGCAGTGTTGCTAAATATTAGCTTGCTAGCACAGCTAATAGGAAAAGTTCAACGTGTTTTTGTTTTTTTTAAACTCATGCCACTGTCCTCTATTGTCCTGTAAGTTTAAAAACAAAGACAACAACAACATTTTCTGTGATTGTTTTTTTTTTTATGCTACAACAAAAGACGTGAACATATTAACCTAATAGCACCGGCGTTAAACAATTGAGTGGTTAACCTTTGATGGTTTTGTCTGCGTTGGACGTTTGGAGCAGCGTGTTGATTGAGATGAAGCAGAGTTTTAGCGCGTTGCTTTGGGCCAGAGGGACGTTACTGGAGCATGTCTACCTGCTCCTTCATGCGTGGCTAACGGTGAATCCCCACGGAGCCCCAATAAAGCCCAACAGTGGCCTCCGCCACACACACGCCTCGAAGCGACACGAGTGTGCAGAATACAAACACAGGTCAGTGACGACCATAAAGAACTAGAGAAATTTAATTTCCTGAGAAAATGCAGTGAATGCTTATTGCTGAAAAACAGCTGAAATAAGCTTTAAAAAATGCTGAAATGGAAGAACAAGCCCAAGTTAACAGAATAAAGCAGTAAGAACACGTATTTGCTTAAATTAGGTTTAAATAAGCAGAAATGGGCTTAAAAAGGGCTGAAATTAGAAAAACGTAGCTGAAAAGGCAGAAAGAAGCTGAAACTACCAGAATGAAATGGAACAAGCTGAAATGAGCTAAAAAAAATGGATTTAGCTGAAAAAGCTAAATTTAGCACAAAATAGCTAATCAGTAACAGAAATAGCTGAAATAGCTCAATTTAAATTAGCAGAATGAAGTTAATTAGGCTGAGCGTAGCAAAAATTACCACAAAAAAAATTATATTTATCTGAAAACGGCTGAAATTGGTTAAAAAGTTAGCTGAAAGGGTAGAACAAGCTTAAATAAACAGAAAAAAAAGCCAAACACGTTTGCTGAAAGAAGCAGAGATGACAAAACAGGTGGAAATTATCTGAAATTAGCAAAATACATCTGAAAAGTAGCTTAAAAAGCAGAAAGAAGCTTAAATTACTAAAAGTGGAGCGAACACGTTTTTGCTGATAAAAGTTTAAATGAATGCAAAAAATGTGGAATTAGCTGAAAATATTAAAACTAGCATAAAACAGCTAAATAGTAGCTGAAAAAGCTGAAACTTGCAGAAATCAGCTGAAAGGAGCATAACAAGCTAAATTGGCAGAAATAAGTTAGAAGAAGCACAAAAATGTAGTTGGCAGAAAAAATCTGAAAGGTGCACAAAACAGCTGAATTTAGCTGAAAATGTTTTAAATTTGCAGGATGAAGCTGAAAGAAGCTGAACCAGAACAAAATGTGAAAGGAGCAGTAAAAGGTTGTAAAGAGATCTAAAGGATGGAAAATGAGCTCAATTCATTTTCTATGAGGAAAAAAAGTGACAGAAAAGGCTAAATATTTCAAAAAGCTAAAATTGCATCAATACCAAAAGTCATAGCAGGATTGTCCTGAAAGAGCCGAACGTTTTGATTTATGATTTGTTGAGATAGCACAAAACCTGTGGAACGAGAAGATGCTGAAAACGTGCAGAAGAAAACTGGATGACAGAGTGAGTGCTTCATAAACACAGATTTTTACTTTAGCTGAGCAAAAACAGCCGATCTTTCAGTAAACAGGAGTTTTTTGTGCCTGTTTTCTCTCAACGTGGCCATTAAAAAAAAAAAACTAGTTTCCCTCGTTACTAAACAGTTTATTACCGATGTTGTACAATGTTCTCATAGGAACCGAACGACCGAAGGCTACAGTGAAATCCAGAGAAAAGCTCACGCACTACTTTGACATAAATAAAGTGATTTTGTTTCCTCTCCTTTTTCTCGCGTCGTGCGTGAGCAGTCTTTTGTGCAACATCCCTGCGTCACCTTCCTTCCACGGTAAAAGCAGAAGTCCCAGTTTTTGAACCGTTCAGCTTCCACGTCTTAACATGACAACCCTTTGCTTTTCTTCTGATCCGTCTGTTTCCAGCTCGGGAGGGAGGTGTACTCGGCCCTCTTCACTTCTAAAACGGTCTGAAACCAGAAAACAATAATCCCAGTTAGTCAAACTGTGTTCTGGTGAACACTGCAGCCTGTTGGTGGAAACACGTCACTGCTGCTCCTCCAGCTCACCTGGAAGTCCTGGTCGGACAGGTAGACCTCCAGGTGCCGGGGGTCCACTCCTTCAGGTAAGGGGCTCCGCAGCAGCTCTTCTAGAGGGTACTGGGTCTTCATGAGCCGGGCCAGGGCGTCTTGCACCAGGATCAGATTCACTTGCCCCGGAGCGCCCTTTTCCAGTGAAACCACAACAACCAGTCATTAAATAAGTCCCTGGGATTAATTCACAAAATGTTCTTGTTTGTGTCGCCTGCACAACTTTTGTTGGCAGCGTTCCAGTTTTACAGCAGTTACAGGAGACTTGGATTATTTAGGGAGTTTACACGTTTTTATTGGAGGGAGAGGTGGCGCAGAGGTTAGAGAAGGTGGGCCTGTGATCGGAAGATTGCTGGTTCAACTCCCGGTAACGACAACATCAAAATGTGGGTGGGATAGGTGCAGCACCTACACCTGCCTCCACCCTCACTTGCCCCACTCTGTGCCCTTGAGCAAGGCCCTTAATTCCCAACCATCTGCTCCGCCGAGGGCCCTAGTAGCAGCTCACATCCTCAACACATCCTTGACAGAGAAGAGGAGTGAAGGAAGCCATGTTTGTGAAGAGGAAAACTGGAAATGTTCCACAGTCGGGAACTAACAAAAATTAAGAGATTAACCTGAAATTTAAAATTGTGAAGGTCGGCCCTGAACAAGGATGTTAAATACAGCTGGGGGAAACTATCCGAGCATAATCTCGACTGAAACAAACTTTTCACGGCCGCACCATAAAATAAGAAACGACCCGACCACAGAGAAGTGGAGTTGGACAATTTCAGGTCTAATTTTTACACTTTTTATAAACAGCTTGATTTGTCTTCTTCTCATTTGTTGTTGTTTTTTTTAAACTTTTTGATTGTTTTTGTCTGTTTTAGTTGCACTTTATTTAATGTAAAACACTTTTATTGAAGTCTTGCTCACATTTAACAGGATTTTAATGGTCTGGTCGCCGCTGATTTGTTTCTAGTTATTCCGTTCGGTTTTCGCCTGCAGCTGCAAATTGTTCATTTCAAACCGCTTTTGTTTTTTCCTCAGCTCTTTTGTGCAGCAGGACTCGTACGCTACAAGGTGTCTAACCTGCAGTCTGTCTGGAAGAACTAATTGTGTGTTTGGACCTGTGTGGGAGGCGCGAGGCTCCTCTCCCAGCGGGGGAAAACATTAGTGAAGGTCAGAGGTTCTGACCCCTCCAGGATGAGGTAGGCCTGCGGGGGCCTTCTCGGGTTGATTTCTGTTGGACAGAAAATGGCACATTTTTAAACTCGGCTGCAGTTTATTTAAAACGGTAAGTTTCCAGTAAAAAAAAAAAACTCGGATCCTCCTGACCTTTGCAGTACTGCAGCGCCGTCTGCATGGCGCACCTCCTCTCGTTAAGCCAGAGGCTCCGGGCCGAGGCCGAGCTCTCGGCTTGCTCCGGTCGACCTCGCTGCCACAGGTACACCTCTAATCGGTTGTCGAGCAGGAACAAGGCTGGAGATGAAAATTAGACGACTCATCTCACAGTCGAACAATGTTTTAGTGTGTGTGTGCACGGGTCTTCCAGAGTTCGTCTCATGAACCACTGGGCAGATTTTAGTGCAGCGCCACAGAAAGTAGTGTCTAAAGCACCGTCTCAAGATGGCTGCCACAACTTCTCGACATCGTTGGAGACAAAAATGATCGTAACTCTGTGAATCACACAAATATGGACGTAAGATTTGATGTGGCAGCTGAGAGACAGACAGAGCAGCCAGTCTGAGGCCCCGTTTACACGACACCAGCCCTCGTTCTCTCCGAAACTGAAGGTTTCTAAAGGTTCCTAAAGGTCCGTCATAGAATCCAGATCTCAGAGTGGAGATTTATGGGGGAACCCCAGCACGGAGGTGCGAAATGCTCCGTAAGTGTCAAGTCGCACATGACACAACAGGCGGCTGCAGTCAACAACAGTTATAACAAACGGCAGAGAGCAGCGTAACTAATAAAATCCAGGGTCCAAAGAGACGTTGGTGGGTTCACCAGTTTGGACGCAACCGTCATGCAGACGCTGCATGCACGATGAATGCGGCTGAGCCCAGCGTCAGGGTTGCCAGGTAAATTTAAAATGTCTTATTTACCCCCTCCTTTTCTGTGCACGTGTTCAACAAACACAACACACACCTCATCTTAGAATATCTTTACTCAGCACATATGTCAAATACTATCATTTTAAAACCACAGTACTATAGTTCATAATTTCTTATCTGGCAACCCGACTGACATGGAAACGTTTTGTGTAAACCTGCTCATTTTTTGTTAAATATTGAAAAAACACTAACGTTTCCAGAGGTTGTTCTCGTGTAAACGGGATCTTAGATCACTTTGACTTGGTCATTTTAAAAAGAGCTGCATGATGAAAAAGTGTGCACATTTTTCAAAAGGCAACAATTTAGCCGAGACATTTCCCACCATCTGAAGTGTTTATGATTTAAATGCAAAGTCTCCACATGGTAAAACAAACATTTGTGTGTTTTAAATCACTATTTTTATTGTTTTGGTTTTAGTGAATTAGAAACGTTTTCATTGTTTGGCTTTAAAAAATAATTTTATGACCCTAAAGTTTTGACAAAAAAAACAAAAACAAAACATGTTTATTTTGCTTGTTTTATGCTTTTTTTATTACCTGGCTGTGGTTCGGAGTACAGAGCCTCCTGGATGAAGGGCATCGCCATCACGAGTCCCGGCAGTCGGGTCGGACTCCGGAGCTCTTTGGCCTGAAATTTACCCGAGGAGGCACTCAGGTGGAAAAGGCGAGGAGTGAAGTTATACTTCCCTGGATCTGTTGTAGATCACAAACATGTATAAAATGTATTTTGAGCACAAATGAGGGACAAAAGCAAACAGTGGGTGAGGTCGTACCTTGCAGCATGCAGTCGTAGGCCTTCCTGTCCATCTGCCCCAACGCTGCCCAGAACTCTGCAGGCTCTGAACCTTCATCCACTGCGTGAGTCTTCACAGGACTGGTTTTACTGAGACCCAGCTCTGGTGGGCACCTAACGCACACACAGCACGAACAAAAAGCTGCAAACACACGCTGCACTTCATCCTGAGAACAACAAAAAGCGTTTCAGACTTACATCTGAGTCAGGCGCTGCACCGCCAGCTTGCTGACTTCTCTGGTGCTGCTGTGAGCTTTGCAGCCAGTCCAGAGGAACAGCACCCCCTGCTGGCTGTTCAGCAGGACTACAGAGCCCCTGGACCGCAAACCTGCACAGCAGCAGTCCACCTCCAGCAGCAGACCCTCCTCCGGCAGCTCGCCTCGCACGCAAAACAGTCTCCAGCCTGACGTGAGAAACGAAACAAATTAGACGGGAAGTAAAATCAGCTGGAACAAGAAACGCTGGAAGCTTCCATAAAACTCGTTTCAGCACCTGCGCTGGTGGAAGCGTGCTCTCGCTTCCCCTTGTGCACGACCAGGCCGCCCTGGAACAGCTGCAGGAAACAGGGGGGTTCTTCTCCCTGAGGGACGACCACCTACAACAACAATTTACTGTAAGTCCTGCAGCAACGAACCACCGGCTTCTGCAACAACTCCAAAAAGTCGTGATGTCGTGTGAAATGTAAAAAAATAAATTAAAAAAGCAACGATTTGCAAAGCTCATAATCCCACAATTTATTCCAGATTAAACACAAAACTATATCAAATGTGTCATTGATTAAAAAATAAAGACTTACACCAGTCCTGCCTCGTCTTTGTTCGATTCAAGTATTTGATGTTCTAAAATATTTTCTGTATTGACGCTGCCTGTCCAGGTATAAACTGCCCATGCACCCCCATAACGTCAGAGAGGCAGGCCTTTGAACCGCGCCCTGATAACAGGCCGGATGATCTCGTTCCTCTTTAGTTTGGAAGTATTTATGGTTTTCAAAAACAATCTGAAATCTGGATCTGACTCGTTTTAAACGCTGGTCCAGAGAAGACGGCCATGTTTCTGGACTGTGTTTGCCTGATAGAGCTTTAAGCAGATTTACGGATGGCACAGTGAACTGTGTTTACAGACAATGATCTGTGGAAGTGTTCCTGAGCCCAGAACAGAACCAGACCTGTTTTAATGCAGGGCTCGAATGTCTCGAACATCTGAATTCATTTTCTTTCTCGTCTTTTGAGTTCAGATTCCTCCAAAGTCTTGAAATCTTTTGAAAACATCATGAAGGATATTCAAAGTCTTCCTAGTTTTCTGTTAAGGAACATTATTCTGGGATTGTTCCACTAGTTTAAGAGATATTTTGTAGACTGGTGAACCTCTGCCCGTTTTTACTTCTTCTTCATACCTACACTTCTTAAAGAACTTTTGCCCATTAACCAACTTATCGTCACAAAACGCTCCCCCAGTCCAGCTGCGTCCAGCAAAGGTTCAGTTCCTTTGTGTTGTGATCGTGCACCTGAGAGTCTTCATGGTTGTTCGACCCGATGGAGAGGAACGCTGCGGTGTCCCGTCCGCTGACGCTCGAGCGCCGGCCTTGCCACAAAAAGAAGACCGAGTTCTCCTTCGATCCAGAAACGCCGTCGCACTCATCTGGGAGCTTTCCGTTTTCTGGAACAGATTTTTTTAAAAGTGACTCGGGAGGTTTTTGTCCAAATTAGATTAAAAAAAAAAAAAAGACCTGAGAAAGGTTCTCTTTCGTTCTCTGCGTTTACCGACCAACAGCGTCGAAGCTGTAGGTCCAGCGGATCACGTAGGAGTCTCCTTCGTGAAGCTGGCTGCAGCTCTCCACGAGGACTTCGCAGTCGTCGAACTCCTGGACGTGCCACGTGTCCACAGCGACCGTTCTCAGCTCCATCTGTTGTCCTTCCTCCAACGTGAGGACACCTCGACCTCTCTGGACGTTGACGCCTGCCAGCACCGTACCAACTGGACTTTTTGTCTCCGACTGGCCCGACGCCAACGCTTTAGCGTCGCAGGGACTCAGGAGGTCTGACGATGGAGACTCAGGCTGAAGTGGACGTGAAGGCGTCGACTGAAAGGAGCGACAGGAAATTCGATTTGTCATTTTTGGTTCAAGCCGACGACGGTTTTAGCTGCAGAGAGCGGATGACGGAGAGATCAACCTGCATCTCATCCTGTTCTTCAAGGGCTCCATTTCTGCACGTCCAGTCCTGGAACTTCTCCCTGAACAGAACAGTCTCGTTGGACTGCGAGACGACACCGAGCAGAGCCCAGCTGGGGCGGCCCTCGCCCCTCCTGAGGACAGACAATCAATCAGCCTGACGGTTAACATGACGTACGCCTGAAACGCAAAACCCACTCAGAAAACAACGATTCAGCCACACGTTTGATTTTGTTTGCATTTTTTTTAAACTGCCTGAAAAGTCCTGAAAAAAAAATCTGTTTTAAATTGTCAGAATTTGAAATGCTCTTTAAACTAAATCATTTTTAATGTTCCTTTGGGGAAAATGCAATAAAGTAATTTTATAAAAGCAGTTTTTTAGTTGTGTATTTATTAAATACGCATTTCATTCAGTTAACTTTCCCTCCACTTTTTATTTTTTATTAGCTCACTATGAGCTACTTTTGATGGATGGATGTGGCTGCAGGTCTGAGCCCGGTCTCTCATTTTATCTGACAAAACTGATTTAGTTTGGACGTAAAGAGTAAAAACTAACTTGTGCACGAGTAAGAACAAAATAGTAGATCCACACCTGGCTGGTCAGGTCTACTGGATCACGCAGGTAGGGGGTGCAGGTGTAGTGGTTATAAAACTGTTTCAGTTAAAAAAGGACAGAAAAAAACATTAAGAAAAATAATATTGTTTTGTATTATTTGGATAAAATTGTCTTTGATTCATGGGAATATGTGGGAAATGTAAATAAATAAATAAAAAACATAATCCATTCCTCAGTTGAAGTAAAATTCATGGGAGTAAGATGCACTGTGATTGCTGATCTAACGATCTGTGATCGATTTTTCTGGTCTTGCAGTTCAAAGGTCACAGAATGATGCAGTAGAATAATACGATTTAAATGCATTTTCTTTAATGTTACTTTTCTGACTACAATTGTTTATAGACTTTAGAGAGCGGTACCGTTACAAAGTTTATGTTTTTGAGTGTTTATTTACCGATCGTGTCTCGATTAGTTATGTCTGAACTAACAGGTGAAACGTGTTGCGCCTGTTACAACACTGGAGGTGACAGAAGTAACTTTTCCCCTTTACAACAGGGTCTTTGCAAAACTATGGACTAAATTTATTATTTGTTTTTACGTATGAAAAATTGGTCTGGAAGTATTAAGGAGTTTTTTTTTTTTTTTCTCGTTTTGAAAATTGCCATGAAATAATTAAAATTTAAAATGTTTATGTACGTTTTTTGTAAAACGAAAAGCTCCTAGGGAGCTAACTTTTAAAAACATCATTCAAATTTGATTTATTTCAGGATATAAAACATTAATATAATAAAATATTAATAGTATTTCTAAACAGTTGCTGGTGGATTTCCCCCCCGAGGAACATTTCTCGTCATAACAACTTGAGGGCTCCCAAAACACAAAATCCTGTTTTCAACTAATCAGTAAAGTTGATTAAACCAGGAATAAAACAAAAAATAATGACGTGAATTATCTATTTATATAAAACATGAATAATCTTTTAGATCTGTTGATAAATCTGTGCAACCTTAAATGAAACCAAGTGTTCGTAAAAAACGTTTTACTTTTTCTGTCCGATAGGTCAGTTTTTCCTAAAATGCTCTCAGCTGTTGCCAAGATTTTAACGAAACTCTCAGAAAGTAATCTTTGGACTGACGTGAACAGCTGATTAAAATTCACGAGTCGACCACGTTCAAAATGGCCACCGCAGACAACTGACCTTAGAAAACACAAAGATGGAAATAATGAGCCGTTGTTACAGCTACTGCGCTAACGTGTGGTACAAGCTAACGCTAACAGACTGAACATCGTGTTAAAGGTTTGACCAAACTGTAATCTTACTTTTAAAGGTGGAGGGCGAGTCATAAAATAAATGTTTCACGTTTTAGCTAGTTCAGTGTTTAAAGTTGCTGCTTGTATGTAGAGGGTCGTACGGTGTGGTGAGAATAAACTGAGGTATGTGGAAGCTGTTTTCGCTGCCTGCAGGCTGGACGCACAGCTGAACGCCGGGGTTACTCTGGGTGGGGTTGAGCGGGTTGACTCCACAGTTGCTGTAGTCGTATGCGCCGACCCACAGCTGCTGCGTCAGCCGCAGCGCGACGCTCCTCCTCTCGGGGCAAACGTCCCGTCCGTGCCACAGGTACACCTCGCTGCCGAAATCGAACACCAGCACCTGGAAGCACAAACACGGTGACGGCGAGGGCGCGGAAGCATCGCCAGAACCGATCCGGAGCTGAAGTGGGACTCTGACCTCGGTGGAGCCCAGCAGGGCGGTGCTGGGGGTGGAGGCCCAGGCCTGTTCGTGCGGTACCAGTCGGTTCTCCACCAGCCGGTACACGCAGTTGGACTCCACCACTCCCAGTTCAAACAGCTCGTCCTCCTCCGCAGCTCCAGCTCCTGCGGGGCGAACGAAACAATCGAAACAGCTGAAGCTGGCTACGAACTTTAGTTTTCTTCGTGCGAACGTTGATTCAACGTTCACTTCTGCTCATTTTGTGCCGTTTTAGCTGTTCATTTATCAAAACGTTCGGCTGCTAGGACTTTTTAACTTTACAATTTAAAAAAAAAAACATTGTTCTCTTTGAAATCTGCTTCAGCGCACATGCCGTTTGTCTTCTAATGCTAATTTTAGCTACTATTCTGCCACTTTCAACGCTACTTTAAGCTGCTGTGTGATCCTTTCGGTTTCAGCTTCTACAACGTTTACGCTGCCGACGAAACGTTACGAGCCGCCCTCGTGTGCTGGTGAACCCTCATTGTGACCTCTGACCTCGGTACGGTTTCCTCCCTCCCAGAAGGCTCCAGAAGTCCTCCGCTGCACCGCTGTCAGAGCTCGGCCCCTCCTGCAGGTGAACGACTCCGGGGGCCAAACAGCCGAGATCTTTCTGGGTCTGGATGGTCGACGCCACTTCAAAGGCCTGAACGAAAATAAATGAAATAAAAGTTTGTAATTCCACCAAGAAGCAAACTACAAATCCTGTAGTTTTATCTGAGATTTCGTGATTAGGAATAAAAAGCCCGAGCCCTCGGCGGTACCTTGGCCGTCTCCTGCTCGTTGGCGAACTCTCCGCTCCACAGGACGCAGCGCTCCGCGGTGACCAGCAGGAAGCAGTCTCCGCTGCTCAACGACCGCGCCGAGGGCTCGACCAGACGAACCTGGACGCGCCGCCTACCTGTCGACGCCCAACACCGACGTTAAAACGCACGCCGACGCGTCAGAACCCGGGCGTTTAATCGTTCCTGACCTTTGACGTGAATCAGCATCAGGGCGCGGAAGGGGGGGTAGGACTCCGCTGTGTCCGCATCTGAAGAAGACACGGCGTCTTTCGATGGGACAGGATGTGAATCCGGTGAAGAGGAGTTATTACACTCTGCGAAGAAGAACACGGGGTGAGGCGGCTGAACGACAGCAAGGAAACGTGCTGGACTGACTTCTCTCTTCTTGGCTCCTCTCCTCGGCAGCTGTGCTGACCCCGTCCCCCATGTAGTCCTGCATGATGTCCTCTCTGGCTGCCAGAGCCCTCAGGGGGTTTCTGGAGCCCTGAGTCCGACGGGACGGGCGAACCGCTCGCCTGTGCTCTGCCACAGCTGAGCTGAGGCTGCAAACGAACACACGAGGAACAAAAACAGAATGAAATGTTCTGAGAATAAAGTTTAAAAAAACGTGCTGGAAAACATTAAAGTTTTCTCTATTATTTATTAAAACTTTATCTAAAGTTAAATTTAGACAAATGTTACTGTTTAACATGAACCCAGAGGATTTTTAGGTTATATAAAAGTGACCAGCAGAGGGCGCTGTTGCTGGAGAAACTATATTTAAACCATGAATCCCTAATGGTGATATAAAATACATTTACTAAAGTATTTCACATTAGTACTTTAGTTTATTTGGTTTTGAGTTTCTCTACAATTTTACTCTTCAGCGCTGATGTTAAAATGCAATTTTTGAAACAAACTGGGAAATATGTCAATAAAACTCAAAAAGGATTTAGAAAATGTGAAATTTATTCAAGTGAAGTTTCTTTGTTGTTTTCAAAAGCAGTTTTTAAACATATTTTCAAACATTTGAAATAATAATTAGGATAAAATCAAATAAAATCCATGATAAAAAATAAATATTACAGCCCAAACATCGGCTTTATTCCCGTTTTAATCGCCCAAATTATTAATCTAACCATATTACTTTTATAGTAATGTGATAGTTTTCAGGTTACAGAAGATTTTTTTTTTTGCGTTGAAAACTGCTACAACTTTAAATTTAATTCCTAAGTGACTAGAATTTATTTGGAGCAGAGGTTAAAGAAGATGGGCTTGTGATAGGAAAGTTGCAGGTTCAACTCCCGGTACCGTCAACATCAAAAATGTGGGTAGAAACGTTAAACACCCACACCTGCCGACACCCCCTGAGCAAGGCCCTTAATTAACCCCCATCTGCTCCTGAACAGGTCTCTCTTGAAAATGAGTTCTCGTGGCTCAATGAGACTACCTGGATAAATAAAGGATAAATGAAAATAAATTAATTAATTTAAAAAATATATATATAGATATTTGTACTTAAAAAAAAAATAATTTCAGTTTCACTTCAACCAAATCTACACCAAATAATAAAACGATTAAAAACCTATATTTGTATTTTCTTTTGTCTGTCAAATTAAACTTGTTTGATTTCTTTGCATCAGGAAACGTTAAGATCTTTAGATTCCATGCGTGGTTAAATACACAGAACTTTTTAAATTTATAAATAAAATGTAACCAACGTGTTTTACTCTCCACGTGTGATGGGCGTAAACGTTTTGAAGGCTGTAACAAACAGCCCGGGCTTCTCAGATTTACAGTTATTTCACTTTTGCTTATGCTGAAGAGACGTTTTAGTCTCGGGTCGTTGATGCACGTCGTGTTATTTTACAGCGCGTGGAGGAAAAACTATGAACAAACGTTTCCTGTGGGTTAGCATTTCTAAATGAACACAAAGTGACGCGAATGAAGCTGCCGCCCGTCTTCATGCTCACATGGGAGTGCTGTTCTGGCAGAGGACTCCCAGGTCCTGCTGGCTCTCCGAGGCGGCCCCCCGGCTGCAGGAGGTGGGGGCGCAGGTGGGGGACAGGCAACCTCCATCTGCGTTCGACTCGTCAGCAGGCGTCTCCTCCTGAGCAGCCTCGATGCGAGGAGCTGATTAAAATAATAATAATTGCATGACAAACATTTGATTATCTGACATCACCAGCGTGAAGACAAACCATCGGTTCTGCTCAGACCTTCATCCACGCAGACCGGAGCGTCGGTTCTGC